AGAAAACGATTTTGGAAGATGACCATACATGACTGTGTTACACTCAAGTGTACTCAATTGTTGCATAGGCACTAAATCACATAGCAAGAAACTGGCCTGGTGTGAATGTGGTAAAACACAGTAAGGAACCAGTATGCCCTGCGTGTTAAAAGAACAAAGCCTTTGTGTTATTATTATGTTGGAGTCTCCACAAAGCTGCTTGGTGTCCTAGTCAGCAATCTCTAAGCCAGCAAGATATAATAGACAAACAAGGTAAATACAGTCCTCTGATGACAGGCTATGATCTGAGAGACCATGACTCTTGACATCTTGCAAAGGCCCAAGTGAGAAAGCCAGGCCAGTAGTGCCTAGGTGCTACATAACACCACTTGTAGAGATCGATGGTGGCCTGACTACACGGTGCTACACTGATTGAGTCCTGGTGTCTCACTTTCCATCCTTCCTGTCGACTCATCTGGGTGTAACGACACATGTCCTCATGCGACTCATGTTTTTTTTTGCGAGATGAGAATGTGGTACTTATGTCCAGACTTGAAAAACAACTGAACATCAGTGAGGTGAGCTGGAAGGATGCGTGGCGCTGGAGACCAGCAAACAGGCTTGTTCCAGATCTATAACCGGAATGGGGCAGAATCTCATAACGCAGCACATACAACCTGGCGCAAAGCACGTGTCACATACTGGATTTACTACTCACATTGCTTTCAACAGTGGCAGCACACACTACTACCCTGTGACTTTCATCTGTACAGTGACTTCACCTACAGAAGGTCATGTCTGTTCTATAAAATGTCAGTGCACTTGACACGAAAATGTCATTACCCTGGGCAGGGATTCCTGGAAACAATTGACTATAAATATAGTAAGTGATGCTTCTTTTCACGCCGCTCAATATACAGAATGTAAAGTTTGCACAAACTCCAAGTCATCCTGCATAACTGCATCTGTTAAATAAATAATATTGTCTAGACCCACTTTAAAAGGCTTCTCTGTCCATATACTTTAATAAACCCCTATCACGCAATGTAATCTTTTTTCCTTACCATGCAAGAAATGTGAACTATAACTTTAGGAAACTGTTAAGACTTAGCATCATATTATTTCAGATCAGAAGGCAAATTATTTTTTGACTCAAGTATTAGTCGCAACTTCAGGCCCCCAGAAATGTCTAATCATAATTCTGCATATGGAACATCAATGACAGTTTACTAATCATAACACATTAAAGTGAACTGAAATAAGGAGAGATATGGATAATACAATATCAAATCAACTAAATACAGCTGCCTTTGTAACAGGTAGAGCCTAGCTTCGGGGTTATGTAGGACAGTGTTTCTCAGCCCTGGTCCTGGAAAACACTGCCTGTAGGTTTTCATTCTAGCTGAGCTCTGCGTCTCCAGTAATAATTGATGACTTAACTGATCTGCTTCCTGGTTTAGAGTTGTATTTAACTTGTTTCTTCAGTCAGTCTTGAGCTGCATACATACTCTACTTCAAGAGTACTATTTCCAATGACAGAGCTGTATGTAGCCTCTCCTCAGCAATTAGAACAACTGGGTACAGGTTTAATAGCAATTACAAATCCCATTTGACTTTTTAAGAACTAACAGCAAATTCACAAGTATTCACCATGCACAAAACTCACAAACCAGAAGAGGCAGTTCTCCTTATGGATCAGAGTTGGAAAAACAGTGATGCAGGGCAGGGGCTCCCTGTCACGATCGCAAACCCCTTCTCTTAAGGACGCTCCAGCCCGTTAGTCTTTATCCCCTGCACCTGCCTCCGGTTCCTGATCCCGTCCTATAAAAGCCAGACGTTCCTGCCAATCTGTGCACAGCTTTGGAAGGTGGACGCCCGGAAGCCCGCTTACCCACAAGTCCAGGAGCGACTCGACGGCATAGGCTTCACAACGGTGTCCTGACCATCTGGGTCCTGGACTGGGAGCATCTGGCCCCCTTACCCCCCTTTTATTTCCCCCGACCCTTCGCCGCTCTGGCTTTTAACTTTGTTTATCTGTGTCAGGATGGATCACCTGGCTTTGGACATTAGTTTCCCTTGGACTTGTTCGCCCTGGACACACCCCCCAAGCACCAGCGCACCTTGGACATGCCCCATGTTATTCTTCCACTCCCTATCCTAGTCTTTTTCCCCCCGTGTTTTCTCACTCCCTTCCGGATTGTGCTGTCTGCATATGTGACCGTCGCGGTTCCGTGCCCTCCGCCACCCGTTCCGTCCCGCAGCACCTGGGGCGCGAACCCGGTTCTCCGGCGTAACGCAACAGGGAACCAGCCGCATGAGCTCAAGGAGACCTCCCTCAGCCCAGGCAGCTGAGGTCCCTGCTACACACAGTGAGGACGATGACGTCACCGTATCTGAACTAGCTCCGCTACACATAGGGTCCTGGAAGACACTTTGTGACACTCCCAAACCCAGTCCCGCAGTCCCTCATACTTGCAGGTTTTCTTTCCATTACGGCTTAATTTCTTAATCAAAGCCTTAAATGAACTAATAAGTAACTTGATTGGAATATTTACAAGTTTTGTTTTCCACTCAATGGTGTAATGATACAGAGGAAATTAAATTGTTAAAAGGCCACCTCCGACATGTTTAAGAGTTGCGTTCAAACAGTTTCAATTAATCGTATTATTACGGCAATAAAGAGTTCAGTTGTGTAACTGAGAACTCGGCTGGAGAAAAAAGCATTTCCCTCCAGGACCAGGGCTGGGAACCACTCATTTAGGACACACCCCTACATCACTCAGATGTCTAATACAAGAAGCATCTCTGTACCACATTCTGTGTTGCAGAAGTGCTACAGATAGTGAAGGGACAGTGAACTGTGGGGTAAATCAGTGTGTCCAAGCATAGAATTATGACTGCTACTTGGTACGTAATTTAGACCTTCTGTGCCACAGCAAAACCATATTTTTAGGCGCAATGGCAATGCTTACTTAAATGAAGCATGTGTCATCACTGCTTATCTTATGCAGCATGCAGTGCAGAGAACTGACTGACCTAAGTGACCTCATGTCTGGAGCCCTATTGGCCATGCTTGGCACAGGCTGCAAAAAGTGACGAATGCTCATCCAGTTCAATTCAGGACTGCAGTTCCAGGATGCCCTTATCCAAGAATGTGCTCAACAAATGATAAGTGGGATTTACTGGCACTGTAAATGTGCCATTGTGTTTCTTTTCAGATATATGCAGTAACAATCCATCACAAAGGAATATAATTTTATTAGCGTAACCTGTGGATCACTATACCTAATATTTAAAGTTAAAAGAAACATTAATATCATCCTTGCAAGAAATATTGATGCCCTGAAAAACACTGAGGAAATTAATAACATTTGTATTTAATAAAGTCTGTCATCTGTATTACCTGTTTGTTCTAACCTTTACCCTATTCATTTAAACTGGCTAATTTCCTTCAGACTGAAGGGTTTTCTTCCATAGTCAAAGAAATGACGGCAAAAATTCACAATAATAAATGATAAAAATTGGCTATATCTGCAAATGCTAAAAATAAAAAAGTGTGATCTTGAACTCCAGACTATGTTGCCCTCCATTGTGATTAATAAAAGCTAAAAATGATAAAAACAAAGCAAGATACACTCAGATTAATGTGACAACTGGAGTCGCTCAAGGTGCATCAAAGCTTGATTCATTTTTATTCTATTTCTGTTTCTAATGAGAAAGAACAAGTTTGTATCACTTTGACTAGTACTGGAATTTGAAGGAATTTACAATGAATGAATCTGATCATAGCAACCTTCCATGGGTTGCTATACTGCAAGATGTGGAAAGCACCTTTGAAGCTCAAGACAGAATTATGCTAAATTAAACAACAAAGTCTTGGCACGTCTGAATTCACAGGTGCTCTCTGTCAATAAGGTGTTGTTGAATATAAACGTTACTCCATTCCCACATTTTAAGTGAACAGTATCTGTCCAGTGCTAGAGAGTACAATCAAAAGTTGCTGTAAAATGTACACTATTTTCTTTTTCATTTTAATAGGATTGTTTTTTTTAAACCTAAATCCTTTTAAACGAAAGAAATGTAAATGTAATTCTGGTGTCCCAGTTAATATTTTTTTTACCCTAAAAGTATTCTTTTATATTTGAAAGTGTGAAAAATCTACCTATTTTTAATGCTGCATACTGCTGGCATTCTTATGCTGGTTTTAAATGCATGTCCACTATGTTTTATCTAATTGAAGAAGAACATTGATCTTATAATAGCCTTATTTCTTTTTTTCATCACAGGAACATCGGAAGGGTTCCAAACACTGTATAATGAGCTATTGTCTAGCCTATATTGCCTTTTCAATATCCACAGTTCACAGTGTTCCATACACCAACGATTCTTTGTGTAAAGAAGTGCCTCCGGATGTTAGTCCGACATGCACTTACTGTTAATGTCTATACTGTAGGTAACAATTTTAATGTGAAACTTCATGGTCTTGTCCACTTGACATGCTTGGATTTGTTAGGATGTACACAGTGGGTGTTCTGGGAATAAAATACATTATCACAAAGTACTTGGGAAAAGATTCTGACAGAAATGTTGATCCTGTAAATTGATTTTAACATGTCAACTCCAAACCTCAAAGCACCGTGCTTTATCATCTTCACATCCAATGATGTGAGATTGGCAGAAAAAGTTTTTAGCCCCTAGAACATATTTTTACTTTTCACATACTGTAGCTGTCAACAACAGTCAATACATACGGTACTCAAAAAAAGCCAAAATGTGTTATTATCACGTAAGTTATTCGTGTTTTAAAGCAAAGCATACAATGACCACAGCAAACATCTTGGCATTATTGCAAATAAAAATTACTAAAACAAAGATTATGGTTTTCCTAATAAATTCTAACCTTGTTAGATCTACAGCATGTGACAGATGAGGAACAAAACAGTATAGCGTGAATTTAAACGTATCTGCAATGGTAAATAAATCCCGGCTTCCAAACTTCTCCTTTTAGGTACAGTACTTACCAACTGTAGCCACAGTGTCAAAATCCTCCAGCCGGTAAGTCCTGTTGGTCAGTGATGCTGCGCCTATCTGCGCAGTGCCAGTAGAGCTACTACTGCTGGCGGCAGCGCTGTTGGCACTCTCCCTCAATGAGGCACATTCATTGTTCACTCCAGACTTGCCTTTCGGTGTTGCCATCTTTCATCAGGGTGCGGAAACCCGATATGCCACTTCACCCTATTACCCTCAGCACCTCTGATATTATCACAAAACGAAAAGTTCCTCTCCCTTTTCCGAAAGCACTTTCAATTTCTCCCACATTTAATTCTGCACGGTGGTCACCCCCATTGTCTCCAGCCCCGGCGCAACGATCATTTCTTCTTCAGAGGGTTCTCTTTGACAAAAACTCACATTCTCATTGCATTTAAAACATTTACCATATGGTTGCCAGGCGTCACAGAAAACAGGAGCAGGGACCACTTCAGGTCCCTTGTCCAAAAAAACAACAACCGACAAAAAGACTACTTAAACTTCCTCATTTGATGAATCCGCTGAGTATTTCCAGGCTCCTTTTGACTGAACATTGGATGCGGCGTTTCGTGTTCTTAGCTGAAATGGTGCCTGTCGCTCTCCGCAATTTGGAATATTTAAATTATTTACTTCTCCCGCAGTCCCCCAAACGAAACCTGAACCCGTTCCCCTTCAGTTACAATTTCAAACTGCTGTAGTTGTGGACAAGGAAGGCGCAGGCAAAGTTCAGTGGTAAATGGCAGCGTGGTGAGCGAATGGAGAAAGGGCTCTGAAACCGTCGGCCAATTAGTTTATTCCAGAGGTGGAGCAGGGCCAGACTGGCAGCTGACAGGACTCGCTTTTCCTGTTTGTGCCTTGCACATGGAAAGCCTGAATGAGCCCGGTTCATCGCTGTCCTCTGCCAGTTGAAAAGCGGAAGAAACTGAAAAGGCTACAGGTCAAGCCGAAAGCTTGGAGATGGGGCACTCTTGTCGATGCGCACAGCCCTCACTGAACTACTGTACATAACTAGTTGTTGTGCTTGGCCGACGCCGAGGTGAACAACAATTCTTTGTACTTTTTAAAAAAGCTAAGGGGGAACCTTACTGCTTTATTGCAGCAAACAGCTAAATAAAAAGTTAAATCAGTCTCTTTTGGTGAACAGTCTACAGTACGTACAGTATGTACTGTATGATTAACATGCATGTCCTCACGCATGTACTGTACGAAAGCAGAGAAGACGTACTGTACATTTGGACAATATCATGTGATATTAATTTTTACACGAAGTTCTCTAATGCTTCTTAATGTTCCAAACATCCATTTTAAACATTAAGTAAAGTTTATTAAAAAAACATCATACAGTATTTCATATCATATTTAAAACTCTGAATAATAAAGTAAAACCAGAGAATTATTCGATACACCTTAGTTTAAAAAGGCAAATCGATTTAAACAGATCCCAGTTTTAAAATACAATTCCCGTATGTACAATGAACAATGTTAAACAGAGTATCTCTTCTAAACTTTGTTTTGTTATTTCTTTAGGAAAATTGCAGATGTGAATCTGAAATGTCTGCTCATTAGAAAAGGAAACCCTACCCACCAGCCTTAAGACTTCTCCCAAAATACTAAATCCCACCAGCTGTTGCTGATCTTCAAATGAGAAGCTGCTACTTGAGAGCCCTATCTCTTGCCTCAGACTCACCCATTCACTGCGAAAGAAGACCCTTTTAAAAGTTGAGAAGTGTTGAGAACATTGTCTCTCCCAAAATCCAAAGCTTAATATGTAGCTTCTCTTTAGTCTGCTGATTTAAGTTTTATTAATAAGAACCACTGTGACAGGTGTATGTGTTCTGGTCACAATTTTGTGATCTTAGTCGCTATTCATAATTTCATCAGCTAAGGGAAGTCTAAGCGCTGCACATAGTTTCTCTGCTGGCTGATAATATAACTAGCCCATCAAATGTCACATTGTCATCTTTTGTTACTAAAGAGTTTTTATCTAGAAAGGCAGACAAGCAGTGCATGAGGTGTTGGAGTTTAAGGCTGTACATGCTCCACACAGTGTTCAGAGCAACAGTTCAGTGTCTAAATAATCTCCATTTCATCATTTAACAGTGCCGCAGTACGTGTGCAAGATATCTGAACTGAATGTTCAGCTACTGTACCGTAAGATCAAATTTTCATTTCAAATGCAACCTAGAGCTCCATCTACATAGCAGAGCATTTTGACTGGAACAATGTGAGTATGGTACCTGGCTCAGGGGAACAACAAAAGCAGATTCCCACTTTGAGTTTGAACACATTACCTTTAATCCCGAGTCCATTGATTTACTGGTGGTGATTTACTTGCATCTTAGATATTCCCAGGAACTATTCACAGATCTGGAGTGCCACTCACTTCTGTGAGGGTGGGCCATTGAACTTTTTCACACTAAAGTACAGTTGCTTTATTCTTTCATTTTGGGATCCAATATACCAGTTTTACCAAAACTGGCCTGGGTGTGGCTGTGTAAGTGTCTGTGTCTATGTGTGCCTTGCAAAGATATCCCATCCAGGGTGTACCATGTCTTGCGCCTGTTGCATGCTGGTAAAGGCTCTTGCTCCCCTGTGACCTTGAATTGGATATAGCAGTTATCTGATAGCTTAGTTGAATATTGGGAAAAATCGGCCCTGGTGTGAGTGTGTGCATACAGCATTTGTGTCTGTGTGCATGCCCTGCGATGGACTGGTGTCTTGTACAGGGTGTAGCCCATCGAAGCGGCAAGAAAATGGATGGACAGATATACCAATCAGCAGTTCATTCTTTGAATCCTTTATCCTGGGAATTTGAACCAGGGGATACTGTACACGTGGAGAGTATGTGGAAGTGCATTTACAACTGAAAATAGGAGGTAAGTCTGTACACAAAGTACTGTGGAAATGTGGAGTGAGTAACACAGATATACTGTACTGTATTATAAACTGATACCCTAGGTTTAATCAAGAAATGACTGGATGGCTTCTTTGGGCAGCTGCTAACCACCAAATGAACAAGATGATGGGCCAAATGGCCTCCCCTTGTTTGTAATATTTCTTATGTCTCATCGATTTGAAATAAAACGTATCAGTACAACTTCAGTTTTACAGTGTACTACTGAAACTTCAAAACATCCACAAATAACTAAGTTTAGTCTTGACACCCTTCGCCATGAAAAAAAATCACTGGAAAATAGATGATAATACCCATCCTTTAATAAAGATTACACTATTTTTCAGTGGTAGATTTGTTTTTTATAAAATGTGCATTTACTGTTTTATAGATGTTTACCCTGCTAAACTGAACAAAAAAGGCATTCGGTTTTAAAGTCTGGGGGAAAATATCAAGGCCCATTAGTGAAAAAATTTCACTTTTACAACAACTTCCTAATACTGTACAACTATATAAACATAACTGTTTACAAATGCTAGTTTACAAGGAAGCTACAATTTTACAGTATATCTTTAAAACAGATGGCTTGAGTATGTAATTATGCCTTAAATCCCTCACACCTTATGCTGTCAAATAATTTGTAAACAACATTTCACCTTTCACTTTGTTTACACATATTGTAGGCAGTTCGTATTAAGAAGTGGAATACAGATCACTCAGCATGCTGGTGGATTTAACCTAAATATCAGACAAGGGAATGCACCATAACAGTACATAAAGATGTAAATGTGTTTTTAAAGTCATTACGTAAGTCCATTTTCTTTTTTTCCCAAGTAATTAAGTTACTAATATGGTTTTAAAAAAATATCCCTGCTGTGAGTGTGTGCTCTTTGATGGATTGGCATCCCGTCTGAGATGTATCCCACCTTGTTTCCATTGCTTACCACTGTCAGCATACAGTAGGCTCCTACAACCCCATGATCCACTATTGGATAAAGCGGTTAGAAAATGGATAGATGGATAATTAATAATTCATAATTAATTCCAAAATATAGGGAGAAAACAATACAGTATAATCAGAGCCAGAAAGCCAGAGCCACACTACAAATTAATGAAATGACCAAAATGATGAAGAACAAAAAGAACACAGAAGATTGACCCTAATTATTTGTCAATGGACTGAATTAATACAAGTGAAGTCCCTTTACAAATGCAGAAATCCTGGGATCTCTGTCCAAAATACTTCCTATTTTTAATTTGTTTTTCTCACAGGCTAATCATTAAAATATTGGTAAAGCAGTAGCAGACAGACTGTGCTAAGTAAAGATATGCCACGGGAAAGAAGGCTTATATACAGCCCTCACAAAAGGCATGAGTCCCATTGCCCATGCTTTCAGGTCTTTGCAAAAGGCAGCAGCAAAACACATTACACCATCAGCGATTTACAGATATCGGTTGGAGGGTTGGGTGACACGGTGATTAGAACTGCAGCCTCGCAATGGCTTCTGTAAAAACTGGCCCTGGTGTGAATATATAGTAAGTGTGAGTGTGTGTGTTTGTGTCAGTGTGTGTCCTGCAATTAACTGGTTTCCCATCCAGGGTGTATCCTGCTTTGCTCCCATTGCTTGCCAGGATAGGTTCCGTGTCCCCCCACTGCCATGTACTGGATTAGCCGATGGGAAAATGTCTGCATACAGTATGGGAAGGCTTTACAAATTAACAGGCTGCAAAACTCAGGCTTCAAGAAGTTACTGATTTGCTACCCATAATACATGCAGAAGTGTGTAAACTGCTAATGGCTTAGTGGTCCCACAGACATCTGCAAACATAGTGTAAAATTGATTCATCATAGGGAGAAGGTCTATCTACTGGTCTACAAATACCACTTCCACCCACAATGTAATTTTTCCTTAATTGTTCCCACCCTTACAAGAAAGGAGGAAAACACAGACAAATATTGTTAAACAGTATCCATAAAAGAATGTAAGATGTTCAAAAGCAAAACAATTACATGTTACGAAGAAGCATAAAAATACAAGAAACTTGAAAACAAGAGGTGGCCATTTGGCCTACTGTATCTAGAACTTTTTGTTTCTAGTAACTAATTGATCACAGATCTGATCCATTCTTTCTTGAAAGAATGGTGTTGGCTTCAATAATATGGCCGAATGGCTTGTGCTAGGCTCCCACTACCAGTTAAAAAAAAAAACATTTTCCTGTATTTTGTTTTTTGTCATCTGGCTTGTTTTTGACTGTTGATTTTGATCTGTATGGTTTACGTGGTCAAGATTTTAAATACCTGAATCAGCCCTCTTTGTTTGAGATTCTCGATTCACCCAGGATAGGTTCTTCTGCCTGAATGGCTGACTGATGTATAAATGTACACTTCATCATCCTTGTTCTTTCTTGTCACAGTTATGTTATGTATCCTCTAATGCTGGACTTGTCACCACAACTCTTTTTAGCATGTTTCAATTACTTCTGTTGCATCAGAATTGCATGGCAATAGGACTGCTTCTATTTTAGCATTTTTCCCCTATACTCTTGATATGCACATATCCATCTAATCTCTTAATAACTTCCATCTTAATGATGTAATGGGAAAAAATGTCCTTTGTTTGATATGCTGTCACAATACTCAAAGTTGGGAGTGATAGAACTTTTTACAGCACATTTTAGTTTAACTAACTTGACCTACCCATCTAGCTGTCTAATCTATCAGCTAAAATGTTGAACCAAGCATGAACAGGAGTTGATGTTTCAATGAACGACAAAGGATAAAAATAAGTGATATATTTTTAAGCATAACACCTATTCACAGTAGGCCACAGACTGAAATGTTATACATTGTGGGACTCCTAGTGTTTCAACTAATAAGATGCAGAGTGTATAGTCTATGCTGTATGCCTGTACGGCCTATAGCTTTCTATTTGTGAAAGCTATCTCAAAAACAGGCTTGCTACTGTACATTGAAATGGGAAGTTAATATTCAACAC